ATTTAGGTCATTCATAATGGATATTTAGTTCATTCATTGTGGATTTTTAGTTATTCATTCATTGTGGATATTTAGTTCATTCATTGTGGATATATAAATTCAAATTGTGCACAAAAAAAATGCTATTATTGGGAATCGAACATGAATTTTTTTTTTTAAGTGGGACATGCATTTTTAGTCAAAATAATGTCATTTTGTAACCGTGTGTATCATGCAGTTGCACAGCATAATTTGCGGTATAATTTGCTACTGCTAATAGTAATTAAAAAAAAAATCTTTTTGCTTGGAAAAGCCCAAGAATGTTTAAAAGAATTGTGTTCATTGGAGTGACCCATACATTTATATAGGCCATGAAAGCAGGTCAGCAGCTGAAATATATTACAGGCCCATTTATCTATTGTCTACCAATGCAATTATCAGTCGTTATATCGTGGACCGCGGTACATAATCAATTATACACTGCGCATCAAAACGGCATCGTTTCTTTAAGTAAAGAAACGGCACGCTGTTAGTGTTAACAGAGTGACACTACAGTGTATCTAAACCGACACTGCCTCACGTATTATTTTTATATTATCAAATGAAACTGCAGTTATATCAAAATGATATTGTAGTTATGGTGAAATGAAACTGCAGTATATATAAAATGAAACTGAATAACATTTCACATATTTAAGTGTATATTGTACAATGAAACTGTATATCAAAATGATCATGTAGTTGTGTTTTAATGAAAGTATAGTGTATATAAAATAAAATTAAATAACATTTTCACATATTTGAGTGTATAAATATTGAATGAAACTGTAGTTATATCAAAATGAAACTGTAGTTGTGTTGAACTGAAACTGCAATGTATACAAAATGAAACTGAAGAACAGAGTTATTTTTTGCGGAACGGTGCGCAACGGCGCAAAACGAATTCCGTTTTTTTTTTCATTAAATAAAACGACGTCGTTTTGATGCGCGGTGCATAATCGATTATGCACCACAGTGCACGATATAATTTGCCTGCAATTATTATTATTATTATTATTATTATTATTATTATTATTATTATTATAGTCCAATGATTAATTTTTGAAGTTTGAGTTAATGATAATATTATTAAGAAAAGAAAGTACAGTAATATACCAGAAGTCCAGAAGATGATAGCAGTTATCTGACAAAAGCGAAAGAGCAACATTGAAACAGACAGCTTGTTACTAATTATTTGTGTGTCTGTTGTTAAAACGTCATCACCACTTCTTTATTCCTTTGCTTGTGTTATTTTCTCATTGGAATAATATAATATATGCCATAGGTCTATAGTCTCCATACAACCCTCTGCAGAAGAATCTGTTTGTACTCTCTTCATTTATATAAGACCTTTTCTTTTAGAATTGCAATTCAGGTTCTTTGAAGCTCTATAGTCATGAATTTTTTTTATGATTTTTGGTCCAAGTACGAGAGAAGGGGATGATAGAAGAGGGAAAAAAAAAAAAGAAAAAAATTAATAAATTTGCATTCGTAAAAAAAAAAAAAAAAAAAAAAAAAAAAAAAAAAAAAGAGGCTAACAAAAGAAAAAAATTAATAAATTTTACATGCCCGGCTGGCACGTGCATGCTAGACACAACAGTGCTCAATTTGCGCCTCAGCAATTATATCGTGGATCATGGTCCACAAAGCTTTGTGGACCATGGTCCAAAAACGGCTGTCGTTACAGTTAACAGAGTCCGTATTTTTGGTGTGTTAATTACAAAATGAAACTATAGTATATCTAAAATAAAACTGCTTCACATATTGTTTTTATATTATCAAATGAAAATGTAATTGAATTGAAATGAAACTGTAGTTGTGTTTGTGAATAATATGTTAAGTATTATTATTATTTCCTCTTGTAATAAGTTATTTAATATGTGGTGTTAGACTAGTCAGCTTAGAATAGTCTATTAGTCAGGAGACTTTTACGTGTAGCTATTATCTTTAGTATTAGTTTCTATCTCTGTAACCGAATTCTAATTCAATCGCATTTCATCTGGTATCAGCTAAGCCGTAGGTTAGATCCTCCGCCTTTCTCTCTCCCTACCGTCGATTCATCTCCGTTGTCGACTAATTCCTCTGAGAGGACTGTTACCGCCGGTACACCACCGCCGGCCACCACCCCAAACACCCTAGCCACAACCCATCACTTTGTTTCAATCAAACTCACCTCAAGAAATTTTCTGTTTTGGCGCACGCAGCTCGTGCCGTTCCTCCGGGGATAAGGCGTGCTCGGTTACGTGGACGGTGAAACCCCGTGTCCGCCGCCGATGATTGACCCACCGCCGTTCGACGACTTAGGCGCCACCACTGCCGTGCCTCAGGTCAATCCAGCGCACCGGGTCTGGATGCAACAAGACCAGTCCATCCTTTCTCTTTTGATTTCATCGTTGCCAGAAGAGGTAATGTACTTGGCGGTTGGCCGGAACACCTCGCGGGAAGTATGGCAATCCATCACCGCCGCTCTTGGGTCGTCCACACGTGCGCGTTGCTTGAATTTGCTCGGACAATTCCAATCGTTGTGGCAAGGCAACAGTTCGCCGGCCGAGTTTTTGGGAAGGGCGCAGCTCCTAGTGGAAGACTTGGCTCTCGCCGACCGGCCGGTGTCTTTAGACGAACATAATCTGTTCGTATTCCTGGGTCTCCGCCCGGAGTTCAGGGCCATGGCAGCTTCCTTGACGGTATCAGGTAATCCGATAACCATCCCTCAGCTGTCTGATTTCCTACAGGCGCAAGAATTTATTCTTGCTGATGACTATCCGTCGCCGGCTTCTGGAGCGTCGCCGGGGTCTCATTCTGGCCTGTACACTACCCGTGGCTGAGGTAATCAGAATGGCGATGGCCATTCCCGTGGTGGACGTGGCCGTGGAGGTCGCGGCGGGAACGGCCGTGGTGGTCGCAATGGCCGAGGTAATCCTCCGAGGTGCCAGATTTGACGCGCCATCGGGCACACCGCCGTTCATTGTTTCAAGAGATACAACGCCCTGCCACCCGCTCAGGCAAATCTGACCATCGCCGGTGATGAGTCCGCATCCAGTGCTGTCAACAACTGGTTCCCGGACACTGGCGCATCTGCCCATGCCACGCCCGACACGTCAATGATGTCTCTGTCTGATGAGTATAATGGCAATGACGTCCTGCGAGTCGGTAATGGCGCAGGTTTGGTTATTTCACGCGTTGGTTCTGCATCTATTCCTTCCATGTCTAAATCTCTTCAATTGTCAAATATATTGCATGTGCCCGATTTGTCTGTCCCATTACTTTCAGTTCAAAGATTTACTAATGAAAACAACGTGTTCTTTGAATTTCACAAAGATTGTTTTTTTTTGTGAAGGATTCAATACCCCGGGCAACTCTGCTTAAAGGTTCCACTTCTGGAGGGCTATACACACTTCCGCTGTCTCAGTCACGTTTCGCGTTCATAAGTTCCCGAACTCCAGTCATGTGGCACCGCAGGCTTTGCCACCCACATAATCGGGTCCTAAATAAAGTTCTCCAGACTTGTCCGGTTGAAAATAAATCAAAGTCAATGGGCGTGTGCACCTCGTTTCATCTCGGAAAATCGTCCCGATTTCCGTTAGATAGGGTCAATTCTTGTAGTGCAAATGTATTAGATTTGTTGTACACGGACGTTTGGGGTCCGTCTCCCATTATTTATAGTACTGGTTTTCGTTATTTCCTTCTGTTTGTAGACGATTATTCCTGCTTTACCTGGTTTTATCCTTTATGGGTAAAGATGGACGTATATAAATGTTTCGAGTCGTTCCGTGTCATGGTAGAACGGCAATTCTCGCGTGCGTTCTATCAAATCAATTCAATCCGACCTAGGGGGCGAATACCGAAAACTACATAACACATTTCAATCCCTTGGCATAAATCATAGACAGTCATGTGCTTACACGCACAAACAAAATGGACGGGTAGAGCGCCGGAATAGGCACATTGTCGAAACCGGGTTAGCTCTACTCGCTGAAAGCTCAGTCCCACTACAGTACTGGGACTACGCCTTTGAAACAGCCACGACCTTAATAAATTATTTGCCTTCCTCCGTCGTACAGTTCCAAAGTCCCTACTCACGTCTTTATAACATGTACCCACCGTATACATTCTTACGAGTGTTCGGGTGTCGGTGCTACCCCTATCTACGGCCTTATAATCGCCATAAGATAGAGTATCGCTTCGCCCCATGTGTCTTCTTAGGTTACCCACCGTCCTATAGGGGATATAGATGCATGGACTTAACAACTGGAAAAATCTATATCTGTCGTCATGTCCGGTTTGACGAAGCTACTTTTCCCTTTTCAGATACAGTTGTGCAAAACACACCAAAACAAGCAACACCCGCGGCACCTTGGGCAGTCGGGCCCTTAGTCCCGCAACCCACACTGCCTCCAGTTACGGTTCCGCCACCCCCCGAGCTGGAGCCCATACCATTGGCTAGTGAGCCTGCTCCGTTAGCTACCGAGCCTGTTCCATTAGCTATTAGGGCACCGGCCAGAGGTCGTCGCAGAAAACCACCAACACCAGTCGTCTCACATGTTATGCGTCTCCGGCGTATGACTCAAGGTACAGATGAGCAGTTTCACGCTCTAAGTGCTACTACAGATCCCACTTGCTACTCTCAAGCTGTAGGGCATCCACATTGGCGTGACGCCATGGACCAGGAGTTTAATGCACTCCTCCACAACAACACTTGGAAACTAGTTCCAGCAGAACCACATATGAATGTAATTGGGTGTAGGTGGGTCTTTAGAACCAAACGCAACGCAGATGGCTCTGTTGAGAGATACAAAGCAAGGCTTGTTGCCAAGGGGTTCAATCAAGTAGCCGGTGAGGACTTCTTTGACACTTTCAGTCCGGTTGTCAAGCCAACTACAGTTCGACTACTATTCTCACTAGCTGTGTCGCATAACTGGACCTTACGACAACTTGATGTCCATAATGCATTTCTAAATGGACATCTAACATAAACGGTATACATGAAACAACCGCCAGGGTATGAAGATCCCATGCATCCAGGTCACGTCTGCCATCTCCAACGCTCTCTATATGGTTTGAAACAGGCTCCCCGTGCCTGGTTCAAACGGCTGCATGATTTCTTACTCTCTACAGGGTTCGCCTCATCCAAGACGGATGTCTCTCTTTTCCACTACACCGCTGGTTCAGCTCGGGTCTTTTTATTGGTGTATGTGGACGACATAATCATGCTGGGTAATGACGCCGTACTAATTGACACTCTCCTTAAACAGCTATCCACGATGTTCAAGATTCGAGACTTGGGGACACCTGGGTTCTTTTTGGGCATTGAAACAGGGAAGGTAAACGATGGTATGCTTCTCTCGCAGCATCACTACATGGGTGATATTCTCACACGTGCAGGAATGATGGACTGCAAGCCGTTGGCCACTCCTGCTGCTGTTACCCAGGCTGTTTCTCTATCTGCGCAACCATTTGAAAATCCTACTCAATATCGTCGCATTGTGGGGGCTTTACAGTATTTGACGATTACTCGTCCCGATTTGTCCTATGCAGTCAATAGACTGTGTCAGTTCATGCACTCGCCGACTGAAGACCACTGGAGCCTGCTAAAACGAGTTCTCCGTTATGTCAAGGGTACTCAAGACTATGGGTTGCGTCTATCACCGTCGTCATCAACTGACTTACATGCCTTTTCAGATTCGGACTGGGCCGGATGTCCAGTTGATAGGAAAAGCACGAGTGGTTATGCTGTCTTTCTAGGCTCCAATCTCATTTCATGGTTATCCAGAAAACAGCGAACAGTTGCTCGCTCGTCTACCGAGGCAGAGTATAAAGCTCTTGCTGATGTTTCCACGGAAGTCACTTGGGTTGTTTCTCTGCTCCGGGAACTTGGGTTACACTCCGGTCAGCCTTCTACTTTTTGGTGTGACAATTTGGGCGCCACATATCTCTGTGCCAATCCGGTCTTTCATGCTCGTACAAAGCATGTTGAAATATATTATCATTTCGTACGAGACAAGGTAGCCTCCGGTGACTTCATTGTTAACTTTGTTTCAACAAAAGATCAACTGGCAGATATCTTCACCAAACCGCTTCCGGGTCCTCGCTTCCAGGTTTTACGTGACAAGCTCAATGTGGTTGCACACCCACCTTGTGCTTGAGGGGGTGTGTGAATAATATGTTAAGTATTATTATTATTTCCTCTTGTAATAAGTTATTTAATATGTGGTGTTAGACTAGTCAGCTTAGAATAGTCTATTAGTTAGGGACTTTTACGTGTAGCTATTATCTTTAGTATTAGTCTCTATCTCTGTAACCGAATTCTAATTCAATCGCATTTTATCGTGTTGAAATGAAACTATAGTGTATATAAAATGAAACTGAATAGCAGTTTCACATATTTGAGTGTTTGTTGTCCAGTGAAACTGTAGTTATATCGAAATGATACTGTAGTGTAGTTGTGTTGTAACGAAACTATAGTGTATATAAAATTAAACTAAATAACAGTTTCACATATTTGAGTGTATAATGTCGAATGAAACTGTAGTTATAAAGAAATGAAATTGTAGTTGTGTTGAAATGAAACAAAATGAAACTGAATATGTTATACAAACAAAATTACTTTTTGCGGAACAACGCGGAACGGGTGCCGTTTCTTTTCATTAAAAGAAACGGTACCGTTTTGATGCCTGGACTATAATACATTGTGAACTGCGTTCCACAGTAAAATTTGCCATGGTTCCACAGTAAAATTTGCCATTTGCGCGGTCTGCGCGTCAGTTAGTCCAAAGTTGGGCCCACACAAAACTTATATTTGCAGGAATAAAAACTCAAAATAAATAAATAAATAAATAAATCTCTCCCCATTTATTCAAAACTCCTCCCTAATATTTTCTCCTTAAAAGACATACCAAAATGCACAAATGGTTATAGTGTATTTTTTTTTTTTTTTTAAATGGTTATAGTGTATTTAGTTCATATGTTATACAACTTATCACTTTTAATTTTCAAGTTATCAATAAAATGGTATGTTTAGTCTTTGTTAATGATTATGCTAAATTTTATTGTTATTTATTTTTTTAAAAAATATTTGACTGTAGCTAGTAAAATATCAAAAGTGTTAGTTAACTCAGAGTTAAAATTGATAGCCCGTATAACATAGATATTTGAATTTATTTGGAAAATATTATGCGAATTCTCATTGTCTACTTTCAATTTTTATTTTCATTCACAAAATTTTGAGTAAACATTTGCATTGATACCCATTCGAAAAAAATAGTTTATCCATGTTCGCTAAATCAAAAAATAAAATTAAAGAATCTATATAATAGAATTCAATTTATTAGTATCTTATAAATCAAGAATGTTTAATTGTGAAGTCTAACTTAACAAATTACCTAATTCTAGTGTTAACATAGAGCATCTCCAAGGGAGCACTAAAACTACAAAAATCAACGCCAAAACATCATCCCACCATTTTGTTGAACTCTAACCAGCGCCATCCCTGCGTCAAAACACCAAATTATTTGGTGTTGATGAACAGTGTCGCGCCATATATGGCGCGGTACTGTTCATCAACGTCAAATGTGGAAGGACAGCCAAATTACAATCCTACTCTTATTTCCTTTTCTAATTCCAAATGTATCCTTATTTGTTTTATATGTAATTTTTGTATTTTGTTAAATACTTATATTTAAAGTTTGTAATGATAAATATAAATTATACTATTTTAAAGATCACATTGAAGCGATCGAAACAAGACTAATATTGAATATATATTAATTAAAATTTCAAATACATGTTGTATGTTAAATGTACTACATATTTATGCTATATTATTATTGTGAAATAAACTAAAATTTTAAAAATATTTTTAAATTTGATTTTTTAAATAATTAATTTTATGAAAAAAAGATTAATGTTAATAAAAATTATTATTTACATCACAAATTATATTTTTATTAAACTAATTAAGTACAAATTAAATTATATTAAACTAATTAAATTCGAACTAATAATTGAGAAATCAAATTATTTTAATGTAAAAATTTGGTGTTTTGGTGTAAATGGATTAGAAATTAATAAAATTTGGTGTGAAAATATTTTGAGAATATTTCTTTTGATATGATATTTAGTGAAGAAATTTGGTGTTTTGGTGTAGAGTTCTACTACATATACTCCCAAATCTTACTCCCTCAAATTTACTCCCTAATGGAGAGTTTTGATAGGTTATTTTTCTTCATGTGGGTCCCTGTAAAGTGTATATATCAATATTTTAAGTGTAAGAGTAAAAATAAGGAGTATGAAATGGGAGTAAATGGAGTATTTTCCTTTGGTGTAATATGAGTTGGAGATGACCTTAGAACATCCACATCAGTAAATAATGTGGGGAGAATGCAGCATTAATTCACTCAGTTCAAGTTTATAATTAATGTGGGGGAGAATAGATTTGGAAAGAATATTGACTTTGCAAATGTCAAAAATTATGTCAGAAATTTAAAAATGGAGGAACAGTTGTTGTGCGCGTTTCGCGCACAGCAGCAGCCCACACGGGCGCGTGCAATGCACGCGCCCGCCCGAGGGCGATCGGTACGGCTGAACCTTTTTTTTTTTTTTTTTTTTTTTTTTCGGTTTTTGTTTTTTAGTTTTGGTTTTTTTTTTTTTCCTCCCCTTCCCACATTCTCTTTTCTAATCACTCTTACATTATTGGCAAATTATGTTGTGCATCTGTATGCACCCTGCATGGTGCATACGGATGCAAAAACGACGTCGTTTTGCAAAAAACGCGCGCCCTACTTAAAAAAAAAAAAATCAGTTTCGATTCCCAGCAATAACATTATGTTATTCATTTTTAGTTCATTCGTTTTGGATTTTTTAGTTATGAAATTCTGGAAGTGTAGTTATGCAATTCTGGATGTGTAGTTATGAAGTTATGGATGTGTAGTTATGCAATTCTGAAATTATAGTTATGCAATTCTGAAAGTGTAGTTATGCTATTCTGGATGTGTAGTTATGCAATTCTGGAAGTATAGTTACGCAATTCTAAAAGTATAGTTATGAAATTATGGATTTATAATGAAATTATGGATCTGTAGTTATGCAATTCTGAATTTTTTTTTTAAAGTTAGACGTCAAAACGACGTCGTTTTTGCATCCGTATGCACCATGTATGGTGCATACGAATGCACAGTATAACGCTCCTACATTATCTCCACATTCTTCTCAACTGATGCGAATGCTTTTATAAGCCTATTGCCTTATTGGTGGAAAGTACCATAACCCTTTACACATTATCCTGTTCAAAAGTGAAATCTGATTCTAGACACGTGTCAAGTGATGGTGGCTTCAGCTAAAAAGATCTGCCCCACTAAAATAGGGTGGGACTTCACGCGCCATATCGCACACTCTCTGCTCGTGAAGTTGGGAATCCATCACGAAAGTCTAATCGTGAGTCGTGACGGCGATGTCACCAACAGACGCAACCGGGGCCCACCTCACTCCCTCATTTTTCCGTTGCGGCACCGGTCCCACCTTTTTTTAAAAAAAATTATTTTCCAGGAGGCTCTCAATGTTTTTTTGGGTGACGTGTCTGCTCCTTGCTCCACCTACAGTGTCCTGCTGTCCTACGCTGGCGGACGTGTCGTCTCCCGCGTTTTCTGTCCACTTGAGGCGAGTCCGGTAATTGCAAGGTGTGAGCTGAACGTAAATGTGGATACTGTCCTACGCTGACGGAATTTGCTATTTTTATGGAAAATGCATATTTTAATCAAGATGATGGCATGAAAGTTATTATTAATATAACTACTATTTGTGCCCGTGCGTTGCACGGAATGAATTTGTTATAATATTTTAAAAATATTTAGATTGATATACAATTGTATAAATTATAGCATCGAATATTATATAATATAATTGAAGAATTGAGTTGCACCGATTATGTTTTATGATGTTATCAATGCTTGAATTCAAGTAAATAATTTCTTAATTAATAGCTAACGTGTAGATATACGCATTCGTTGCTGTAACGGTAGAGATTTTATATATCAGTGTTTATAATTTGTATTAATTGGGCTAATTAATTCGTTGTCTAGCAACTTAGTTATAGAAATTATTTATATGAAAGTTATATTTTCTATGTAGATATATAGCAATTTTGTCATCTTTGTATATTAAAAAACATAATATCAATGGCTTGAATTATACATTATTGAAAATCTCTTTGTAGACGACATTGGTAGTAACGGGATTTTATTCATCCCCGTCTAGAATTAAAACAATCAGACCATCAGGATGGGTGACTCGAAAAATAGTCACATACAATTAACCGTGATTAAAGACTGATTTTTTTGGTAATAACTCAACGTGAATCATTGTTCACATCTTTGAATTATTTATTTTTTTCTTTACCTATTATAAACAGAAATTACGATATTTATCAAATTGTATTTTTAAAAAAAAAAAATATAACATTTACACAAGTTATGAGGGGTTAAAAAATATTTTTAAAATATTTTTATTAATATGTATTTTTATTTTAAAATATTTTTCAGCAATCCAAACACTACATTAGCTCCCCATAAAAAACTGATAAAGAAAAGTCACTTCATTAAGAAAATTAAAACTAATTAAAGTAAATCTAATCATGCTATATTTAATTGTAACTGTATATTGATTTCATTTTGAAATCATTGGTTCACATATTTAATTTTTTTAATTATTATAAATTATAATTTATAAACATGAAGGATATTGTACTAATTAATTTATGATAAAGAAAAGTCATATCATTAAGGGGTAAAATTGTACTATACACATGTTATGAGGGGTTAAAAAATATTTTAAAATTATTTTTTGTTAGTAAGTATTTAAAAAAAAAATAATTTCCAGCAACCCAAACACTCACTTAGTCTCCCATCAAAAAATTGATAAAGAAAAGTCATATCATACCTTAAGGGTATTAAAACTAATTAAAGTAAATGTAATCATGCTATATTTATTTGTAACTGTACATTAGTTTCATTTTGAAATTATTTGTTCACATAGTTGAATTATTTATTTATTTTATTTAAATATTATAAACATAAATGATATTTTACTAATTAATTTATGATATTTATCAAATTGTATTTTTTAAATATAGTGCTTTATCCATGCATTGCACGAAATTTTATTTTTGTTATTGGGAATTTAAAATAAAAAAATTAAAAAGATGTTAAAATGTATAATATAATAATATAGTTGGACTTTTATATATTTAGTCAA